TTGTTCACCTTACGTTGGAAAATAATTTCTAAAATTACATCTTATAGATAACATTTTTCTATACAATAACAATTGATAATAAGTAATAAAATTATATTAAACGAGACACGCAAACTAATTTTGTAGCAGTTTAAAATCTAATATAAAATATGACAATAATATTATAATCTATTGCTATTACTATTGATATAGTTTTTATATTCTATTTCTAAATTTACTTCAATATATCCCTTAATTTAAATGCAGTTATTCATATAAATGTTTTATTCTTTATAATAGTTTTAACATGATGCTTATTTTAAATATAATTTACTTTTCCCAAAATAAAGCTTTTTCAACTTATACAGAACTAAAAAGATGGAGAAAAACAAGAAAAAAAATAAAAATAAAATGTCAGAATTTGTGTTTGGATTTTTCATTTCAAAATTAGACTTTTTTTAGATTATAAAAACACAAAAAAANTTAAATTCTATTGTATTTTATTTTAAAATATTTTTTTAATTTGATGTACAGTATATAGGTGAATGCATGCAAGTGATATGTTAAAAATATTTTGCATATATATAATATGATAAATTATCTTGTAAATACATTCAGTAACAAGGCAAAACTCTCTTTAATATAACTGCAGAGTGTGGCAAATTAATTTTTCATGCATCCAATTGTATGGGATGCCCAATTTCAACATAACGGTGTAACAAACTCAAAATATTTATTAAAATAAGGCAAACCGGTATTACTTTTACACATAAAATATCATAAAAAAACATTTTAAATAAATCTATTGATGCAAAAAATTTTCCTGTCTGTAGTTGATAATGTGGCATATAGTAATTATGGTGAACATAAAGCAAACTAACTTAGAAAAAGGGTATTTTTTAAGTTAAATAAAATAAGAAGATACTTATAACAATAAATAACATAATAAAACCCAGTAAAATTTGAATTAAACCAATGAAATCTCTGAAATAAATCTATGATGCTGCACGCATTGGTAAATGAGTGTTCCTCATAACTGAATCCTATATAAGCATATATCTAATTCAATTGCAAATAATATAGCAAATAATTCATGTATAATTCATACCGAGTCATAAAGAAGTCTTTTCAAGAAATAAATCATTAAAAAATTTCTCCAATATTTGAATAGAAGAATCCCAATTTCAATGTTTACTATTATTATGCTTTCATATATACAGTACTGTATCTTATTTTTATAGTAACTTATATAACAAAGATTTAAAGATTATGCAAATATAACGGTAAATCAAATATATTTAATAAGAAACTAGTAAAGAAAAACATTCTATTTCTAACACATCACATCAGAGAATATACAAATAAACTCACGAGGCATTAATGTGTGAAAAAGTAAGGTTAAAGGTATTTACAGTCTGATGGAGAGTAATGGACACAACTAATACATGTATATGCTGTTTATATTTAATTAACTTTTTCAAAACTTGTTTAAATAAACTCTTCTCAGAATGAATTTATCATACATTTGATATTTATATTTACAATTTTTTTTAAAATTAAATTTACTCAAAAAATAAATTACCTCTTGAAACAGCACATCGTTATTTAAAAATATATAGACTATATTTTTTTGGTCTCGTAATTAATAATTTAAAAAAATTTATATTTAATATCCTTAATAACTTTTATCATTATCATAATATTTTATTGGCTTTAAGATATGGTGAAGCATACTAAATTATTAATTACGATTGTTTCCTGGAATTTCTATTAAGAAAATTGCATTTGATGGAGTCGTATAGGAAAAAATTATATTATAAAGTTTGATAAGAAATATATAAAATTATTTTTAAATATATATTTTTAAAAATTTAAAATAAAAATTACGAATTTATTTAATAAAAATTGAAAATGTATTAGTATTTTTCTTCGTTTTATCGTTTATAAAATCGATATTTTATACTAGGATATGACATAATTCCAATTTAATTATTTTTAGGAATCTCTTCAGGTCATGCTAAGAAAAGGTCAAGGTCAAAAATGCAGTTTTTTACTTCAATTTTTTCGTTTTTCTGCTTGAAAAAATTCAAGTCTACTTAATTAAAAGAGAGAAAAAGGTTGGATGAAGCATTAAAAAACTAAATTTAATTTTAATGAATGTTACAAAATAATTAAGTTATAAATTTATGCATCCTTTTTTTTATTATTTATGAGTTTTTTTAGATCCATTTTCCTGATACTTTTTTCTTTAAAAATTACAGTTTTAATCAGAATTGACGATAAAAAAGTATTAAAAAGATAATAAAAAATAGTAGAGTTACTTCATTTATTTGATGCATTTGAGTAAAATATTCTCGAAAAAACTGTATTATAAAACATTGTGAATAAAAATTCCTGAGTTTTTTTTTAGTTTTAAATAATTCAGAAAAAAATATTTTTTTTTTTTCTTATCTTCTCTCCATGTTCTTTTTAGGTTCAGTTTTTGGAAGTTCAAAGTTGATAACTTGAGAGTCTTTCGATCATGGGATTACTTAGAAATTGGATGGAGAAAAACAAGAAAAAAAATAAAAATAAAATGTCAGAATTTGTGTTTGGATTTTTCATTTCAAAATTAGACTTTTTTTAGATTATAAAAACACAAAAAAATACATAATAAATTGTACTGTACAGTTATTTTTATTTCGCAAAATATATATAAAATAGAAATGTACGAGTAACAATATTAAATTATGAATGAGTAAATAATTATATAAAAGTATAATTAACGGAAATGAAGCGTTGAAAGAATATTATGGGAGTAATGAGACTAATGTAATTTGTTATAATTACAATGATGTAATTATTGACGATAGATGGAGCCATTACGAAACTCAATTTTCTTAGAATTAATGAAATTTACGACTAGATAAATATTACTACATTTATCTAGTATTTTGATACAGAATATATAAATTATATATAAATGAAAAGATAGTTTATAAAGGTCACGATAAAAGTTTTATTTATTTATCATTATTTAAAATGATTGAAATGATACAAGCATTGGTAAAGAATTGAGTCGACAGATGGCAGGAGGCGTTTCCGAAAAAAATACATCACTTAAAAAATACTAATAAATTCTAAAATAAATATATCTACAGAAATTACTTTTAAAAATTTTATCCAAATATTGAATTATTATAATTTTTTTTAAATTAAAAAAGAAATAAATAAAATTGTTTAAAATATATATTTATTAAAATTATCTACCGTAAGATGGCGCTATGTGTTAACTTTGACAATTGCATGTGTAGTATATATAGCAGTGTAAAATTCATATAATTTCACGTTACATTTTTGTTTTTTATTTAATTAATTTATTATAAGTTTCTTCTAAAATATAATATTTTTAATACCATACATTTGTATATCTTTCGAATTTAGTGAGTTTGATAAAAATATTTAATTGAAATTTTCCAGTTATTTCAAGTTTTTATATAAATGAATCGTCAACATTTTTACGAGATGTAAACACGACATTTATATACAATTTCTACTATTGTAAACCTAAGAATATTGCTATCAAAGAAACAGAGAATGTGTCGACGTGATAAATGTACCAAACTCCGGATTTGTCATGCTCAACCTATTCTATTTTCTCTTTCTATAACTTACACTATACATTAATTTCTTTCTCTTTAAATAAATAATCGTCAGAAATATTCTAATTTGTAACTCGTTATTCTGGATTTATTAATAAAGAGCTTAACTCTTTCAATAAAAAAGACAAATTTATTAAGTTTAATACATGTTTCGAATGAGTCCCAGTTCGATTTCGGTAATATCTCTTCGTATTATTCGATTTATAATTTAAATTATACTTGGTATTCATAGATATAAATCTATAGCTTATAAACCAATTTTCCAATAAATTTTGTTAACGATTGAACGAAAAAAAATGAGATAAATGTTAAGAAAATACAAGGTCCAGATGTAATCTTCCTAATTTAACGATCTAGTACTTCAAGGTCCTTTGCATAATTTATCCACTCAGCACAATTAGACATTAAAAAGACACTCAAAGAAATTATGTGTAGTTCCTGTATTTAGATAGGAAATGATCAGAAAATAATTTAGAAAAATAAAAAAAATTCTCTGATAAAATATTAAGATAACACTTATTAAGCTTATAAGGAAGGTATTATATATATACATTTATCTTAAATATAAAATTAATTTTCTTTATATTTCATACTTGACACGCATAATAAAAATTATAAAAAATAAATAAATATTTAAAAAATTTTCCTACTTATGTACCTGTTTTTAAATATAAAAATTTTCCTTATTTCACAATAACTTCTATTCATTTGAAAATCGATATATATTATTTTAAAAATCAAAAATATTTCCTCGATAATTTTAGAGTGGGTTAATTTTATTTGATTTATGTAGGCAATATCGTATTTAGAATTTTTAAAGAATTTTTCACTGTGCTCATTTTTAAATGTTTCCTTAAAATTAATCAAATAAATAAAATTTTTATACTCTTCCCTCTTTAAAAAAAATATATAAGATGATTACAATTTTTTAAATATTATTAATTGATTATTTTTTAATTAGGATGATACACTCATAATCTTTGAACGAGTTGCTTCGTAATACGCAGTTATTGTAATCGGTTGTTCATCATGTGACTCATCTTATTGGGCCAGAGTTTTCACGAAATATGGCTCTTCTTCCTTGACTGATCACCTTTTTTTTCGTAGAGGGAAGGAAGGAAAAGCGGATATATATCACTAAAATACAAAAGAATTAAAGGGAAACAAAAAGAACTCATAGGAGAACGACAAAGCTCACTGTTTTGTTATTATATTATTGATTTCGTAGTTGTAGACTTAATGAATGTTATCAGCATTTACTAAATAAAATATCGAACTAAATGCAGTAATGGAAAAACCGATATCAAAAACTTATACTGAATTTTACAGNTAAAAAAATGTATTCGTGATTTTATAAATTATCATATCCCCTATAGGAATGGTCTTGTAGTAGAATACTGATGCACTTGTCAAGAGCGTATGTCCCTGATACTAGAAAACTGAACACACTGGATTTGGCATCTGACGTAGAAGATGTCATATTGGTACAGGGCATGGCTTCCGATCCACAGACAAATGAACTGTACAGAGGAGTGTGTTATATACCTTGTACTGTCAGGACATTAATCTTTCCGGTAAGCAAAATATGCCAAGTTATATCGTTTTCTCTTTTTGATTCCTGATGATAAACTGAGGTTGTGAATACAAGTAGATGATAAATAAACCCACCGAAGATGCTAAATATTGTATAACTCGAATGGTTAGTTACTCAGAATAATCGTCAATGATCTAGTTTCTGGTATAATAAATATTTTTTTTTTTTTTTTTTTTTGAGGGATGAGATATTTTAATGATTAATCGAACTTAATTCATCGATCAAAACGATGAATAAAACATAAAATTAAGCTTAATTTTACAGGACAACCTAATTACAGGTTAGATTTGTTAAACTGAATAGAAATAATTGAGTATGTTTGAAATTTTAAACTCTTCTATATTTAAATGATTTAACGTTGTATTGAAAATGATTTATTACTTAATTAATTAAATTAATTTGTTTTCTGCTGTTTTGCAAGATTATAATAGTGGAATTTTAATTATGATTAATAGTTTAATCTACATATTTTAGGACATCTCCATGATTTTAAAATGAAATTCTATAGATTAATCTTATTACTAATGATATGTTTTGTTTCCAAATTTTAGCAAGATTGTAAGGTGAAACCATTGATAGTACTGATTGGAAACGTAGATTACACATTAGACCCGAATCTTGATTGGTCAGGAGGTACCGAAGCTAAATTAAATCAAGTTCAAAACAAGACATACGTTATCACTAAGAGCAGAAGGCGCCCATCTTCTAGACCATGGACGGTCAGATCACCATCTGAATGGGTAAATATAATAGCCATTTTAAATTAATTAATATATTTTAAATAATAATTTACTGTATCAATAATTACAGAGCATGCCCGAACCTATTTCGGAAGAAGTTAGACAAAGGTTTAATTTCCGTTTAAGAGCCAATTCAGCTGACCCTAGCGAAAACGAAAGGGCTAAAAGTAATCATGTATATAGAATGTTATCGTTACCAATTACTTATGATAATCCTGCATTTACAACCAGCGAAGATCGTCACGTAATCTAAGTTTTAATTTTAAATATTTTACAACTTTTATTAAAGGAATTTTGTATTAAAAAATGTATTTATGATTTTTCAGAATGATCAAGAGGAAACAACAGAAAATATTCCTTTTGGTACGATTAATGAAGAACAAGCAATCGAAGAAGTTACAATTGATATGCAACATCAAAATACAGTCAACGAAACACAGAATTCGAAACGTAAATTTTTAAAATTTAGAACTAAAGAGAAGTGACATACAAATCTTAAGACATTTTTGTACATAGTATATACAAAATACAGTATTTTATTTTAAAGATGCTACTGTAAGAACGTTTCTCATCGAGTCAAAAAAGCTCTTTAAAATATGATCTGTTTACTTCATCTTTTTTTTAAAAATAACAAGTTAAAGAAGGAGGAACTTCGAATCTAAATAATCTACCCGAAAATATTTGAATAAAATGAATAATAAATAAACAATCGTAGAATGTAAAAGATTTCTTTACATTCCACATTGGATGAGATCAAGTAAAATGGTTCCGAACACCTAAAATTGCATAAAATTTACTGTAGAAAAACAAATTATAAATCCCTGTAGCAATTCTTAGAAATTTCTTACATGCCCTAAAACTTCAAATCATTCAATTTTTATTAAAATCAAATTTGCATGTAAATTGACGTTTACAAGTCGGCTCAACTGAAGATGAGTTGAAGTTAAAAAAAATAAAAAAAAAACATTAAATTAAAAAGATCATTTTTGTCTGCTTGTCTTTATTAATTAATCGATATTCATCATTACAGACTTTATAAAAACAGTTATAAAGTAGATGGCCTTGATATGCCTCTTATGTCAAAAACTCCACCCTATAGAAAACTAATTTGGGTCACTTCCAAGGATTTCTATTCAATATTTGTTTCGCTAGTTGCATTATTATTTATTTATTTCTTTAACTTCCCGTTATAATTTAATATAAGATTAATTTTTATCAATAGAAGCGCTTTGTTCGGCATCTTTCTTTGTCGAATTTTATTAATGATATCAAGGTTATGAGAAAGTGTTAAAGTTATAGGGGGAAAAGAACTAATAAGGTCATAATTATTTAAAAAAAAAATTATTTAAGCCATTAAAGAATATCAAAAGTTTGAAAATCGGTGATTTTTTTAAACAGACACTTTCTATAAATACGCTGTAAAGAATAGAAGTACAATAATGATCAACAATTTTTTCCTTTCAACTGTAGACCAATCCAACTATTCATTAGAGGGGAAGCCGAGTAGAGATGTGCTGCAGAAACAAGTTCAGCAACTCACAGTTATTGACTATTGCAGTTACTATACATGATAAAAAATTATACATACATTTGAAATTATACATGTAAAAAATTACAATTTCGAAATACTATAAACAAACCAGTTAACTAATTATAATATTTTAATAAAACTCGACTTTTCAAATACAACATCAGAATTGTAACATGACTTAAAATATATTCTTATGACAATGACCTCTTTAAATAATTAATATGCTATTTTTTAGCTTATCATTTAGCATTGTTAAAGCTAAATTTATAGTATAAGAATATAAAATAACGCAAAAGTTTAATTTTCGAATGTTTTAGAAAAGGAAAAAATACAGTATAAATGTTTATAATCTTTGTTTGAAAATGTTAGAACAATGACATTCGGTATTTCTGCCTCGTTTCTCTTGGGTAGATAACGTGGAGTGAGTATGAGTGCAGTGTAAAAGTTGTTCCAGATGGTAATTTCTTTGTCAATTTTGTAATATTGGATTTCGAGTTAAATTGAATAATTCTCTCAACATTATTAACTAATTATTTATCGGCAAATAATTATTTAATGTTGATAAGTGTACATATAGTGATAAAATCATTCTACGCTATTAATCATGTTTATTAAAAAATATCATTAAAATATATGAATGAATCTTTTTGTTCTGTTTCTCTTTCAAAATATTTCGAAGCGATTTGATAACTAATCTTTCTTTTTCTTCCTTCTGCTTTATTTATTTATTTCTTTAAAGAAACAAACGACATACTTCAGGTTCTTCTTTAAAATAAAGACGAGAGCTTTTAAAGTACTAGTTTCTCCCTCTTGAGAATTATGAAGGCTCTAGAGACGGAGAAGTATTAGAAAAAATATATATATAAAAAATTATATATATAAGAAATTCCCATCATATGTATTCTCGTGGGAAACATTACAAAAAAACAGTGATCACACTTTCAAAATTTTCAGACATCATTTATAAGACCCGAGTGAATCAAATACGAAGTGCTTTGGTTTACTGTTTTGTAAAATGACGCTCATGATAATGTAGGTGTTAACAATGACTTATTTGCAATCACATATCTTCAGTTTTCCAGTTAATTTAACATAATACATTATTCCGTTTAGAAGCTTTAATATTTACTTAAGCAATAAATTGCATAGACAGGTTTACGTTTCTCAGAAATCTTGTTTTGTTGAATTAAATTCATAAAATATGTTATTAAAAATATATATATTTGTATATGTGTATGTGTGAAATTTTATCAGTCTTTAACACAATTATTTTAACAAAGCAAATTTTTAGAATTAATTCTAATCATATAAAATAATTAAATATAATTATTTTACGCGTTTAAAGTGATAAAATGAATATTAAAGTTCTATTTTATATATTTTTTTAAAATTGTATGAAATAGTATTTGTTAAATAACATAAATTCTATTTGTGAGCTTATATTGATTGTTATTTAAAGTAATAAAGTTGTTTATTACTTTAAATAATAATTAAAAGTGTTATTTATACTTCAAATAAAAATTATAAAAAAAATTATTTGTTTTTTACTTTCTTTTATAAAACAATTTTAAACGACAAAAATAAGAATTTATAAATGTATTCATAATTGATTTTTCACAAAACATTTTTGCTCCTGCATCTAAATTCATCATTTTATTAAATAATTAAATACATACTTTATTAACGAGATTATTATACCGCTGTAAACGCCATATTTTATACAGCTACATTTCTATTTATAGCAGACAATCTGGCATCTGTTCCTTGCTTGCACCTGTAAACAGAATACAGTACGTTTCTTATCGAGTAACCTCAATTTTCATATATAAAGTATTTATTTCAATAAAAGAAAAACTTTTTAAACTAATAATAAAAGAATTTTAAATATTTCCTTCAATCTGAAATATAAAATACATTTTATCATTATATTTTCCTTTTTTTAATGCTTTTATCTTTAGAGTACTTTGTACTACCTATTTTAACAAAGTTTAGTTATTTTGATGTCAAAATAATTTAAACTTAATATAATTTTAAGTATTATTATTGCTTATCAGAAGAAAATTAGTGCATAATGTGTTCAATTAGTAGTTCCACTAATTTAATGGTTGCTTCACTAATTTGTTGTTCAATTAGTAATTGTATTCAAATATTTTTAATGGTGATTAAAAATATATTTAACATATATTGAAAGTTAATATTATATATATATATGTATATGTAAAAAGTTTTGCTTTCATGCATTATTTGTTTTATTACTCATGCATTCCCTATATTAACACTTATTATTTTTATCATGATTTATACACTGTATATAGAATTTAATTAGTTACAACAAAAATGATTAAATCTTATAATTAGAAAATATTTTTTTTAAAATAAAATGTAAATTATTTGATTGATTTTTTTTTTCTCTCTAGCTTTTTCTTTTTGCCAAACAAGTTCAAAGATTATTATTTTTATTATTCTTTTCCTGAAAAGAATTCTGTGTTAGCGGTATTTTGGTATGAGTAATGACACTGTGTCATGAGTAACTGGCAACGAAGTGAAGATCTTACAAAAATCGATAATGACAATCTAGGATCAGGCGCTTTCATTACTTAAAGAAATCTTTTATATGAAAGAAAAAATATTTAGAAAACACTTTATCTGATTCAATAAATTTTAACTGTTTTTTTTTTTATTAAAGAATTGTTATATTATTTTAAAATACACAAAGAAAACAAAAGGCGTTAGATTGATTCTGCATATTTTAATATAAATAATATAGATTTTTGTAATTAAATGTTATTGTTTTTTTTCTAACAAAGTGTTTGTGTTTTTAGACATTACGTATGTTTCACATTCAGCCTATTTTACAATGAACTTTGTTTACAAAAGTCGATAGGGAGGCCACGTCATCCGCCTTTTGAGTGAACTGATATGGAAGACTACAGCTTTCTATAAAACATTATAATAAAAATGTAATAAATATGTCCTTTATAAATTATATATTTGTGTTAATTTTAATCGAAACAAGTGTTTTATCGCAACTTAATTATTCTAAAGTATACAACAATAGTTCTTATTAATTTTACAATAAATTATAACTAGGCTCTATTATATCCTTATGCACGGTACTTCAGCTGTATAAATATGACTTAAGATATAAATAACCGGCTTGACTGAAATAAAAATATAAATCGAATTTGTAAAATGATATAATATAATTGAAATTTTAACAATAAGTGATATAAACGTTTAAATAAATAATATAAATCAAAGTTTTTATCTTGAGAACTGAAATTTCTTAAAATAATAAATAGCATTATTACAGGTAAGAAGCAGATGCTGTTCTAAATTGGAATAGGATGGAAGAGTTCATTCTCTGACACGACATAAGTCACAACCGACTGGTTATCTGCACACTCGTCTAGTCAAGGTCATACAACAAATGGCATAATGCCATGAAATTTGTACTTCTACTACTACAAATTTATTTTGTATTTATTATCTTTAAAATTAAAAAAATTTTTAAATCACTTTTTCACATTTATATATAATTAACATTAAAAGGAATGAAGAAAAGCTATATTCTTTTTTCAGCTTTACATATTTAAAGTACAATACAATTGATCATGAGATATTTAAAATAAATCTATTATTATCAAGAAAATGTTATCTAATTTCTTTTAGTATTTTTTATATTGTATGTATTACTGTATTGAAAATAGATTTGCTATCATTTTTCTTCAGAATAAATGGCATCTAGGAATAATTTCACAACATTTATGAAATGATATCATTGCCAAGTTTCCTTAATGTAAATTATTAAACTAACTGGTACATAAAAATTTAATTAAACCTCATGAGCGACTCGCAAATTTTATAAAGAATGCTTTTTTTTTCTATAGGAGTTGNTGTTCTAAATTGGAATAGGATGGAAGAGTTCATTCTCTGACACGACATAAGTCACAACCGACTGGTTATCTGCACACTCGTCTAGTCAAGGTCATACAACAAATGGCATAATGCCATGAAATTTGTACTTCTACTACTACAAATTTATTTTGTATTTATTATCTTTAAAATTAAAAAAATTTTTAAATCACTTTTTCACATTTATATATAATTAACATTAAAAGGAATGAAGAAAAGCTATATTCTTTTTTCAGCTTTACATATTTAAAGTACAATACAATTGATCATGAGATATTTAAAATAAATCTATTATTATCAAGAAAATGTTATCTAATTTCTTTTAGTATTTTTTATATTGTATGTATTACTGTATTGAAAATAGATTTGCTATCATTTTTCTTCAGAATAAATGGCATCTAGGAATAATTTCACAACATTTATGAAATGATATCATTGCCAAGTTTCCTTAATGTAAATTATTAAACTAACTGGTACATAAAAATTTAATTAAACCTCATGAGCGACTCGCAAATTTTATAAAGAATGCTTTTTTTTTCTATAGGAGTTGATATTTTGAGATAAATATTTTATATAAATTTATAGAATACAATAGAATGGCTTAATATAGCAAAATTTGTATTTATAAAAGAAGCAAATTATTCATTTTTTTAAATATGATTTTTTTTTATTTCTTTTTATTAATTAAATATTTTTACATGAAGTAAAACATTATACTTTGTTATATGGAATAGAAGTACTATATTATACTGTATAATATTGTCTTATACATTTTGATATCAAGTTTAGATGATATAATAATTAAATTTTTTAATTTTATTTTTACGTTTAAATTTTATAATTTGAGAATTCTATTTAATTAATTCAAAGATATTGAACATTGTTTTGTTCTAAATTTACGATAAGTTTTATCGTATATTTATTGAAAAAATAACAGAATGTATTAAATATATTTCATGTCATATGCAGTTTTGGTTATATATATAGCATATTTATAATTAATATTTATCCATAACCCAATATCTAAAAGGCCTATGTGTTTTAGGTATTAAAGGTTTAAATTAATAACTTTAAAATTTAAATAGGATTTAATTGCAGGGTTACATGTGTATATAATCCTGAAACTATAGGATATATTAAAGTTTTAGCCTACAAAAATAGTTATATAAATAGCAACCTTTATAAGTATTCTTTTTGAAATATAAATCATAAATTTTAGCTTGCATAATACATTTGTAAGCTTTCTAAATAATTTTCTTTTTGTTTCATTAAGCTGTATGGTTTCATTAATTTTAACTTGACAGGTTTATTTTGTAGATTTAAATGACCAAATTTTTTTTTTTAGTAATCTTAAATACATATTTTGTGCAATATAAAAATAAAGACCTATATATAAAGTTTTCCAATGATATAATTTATTTTGAATTAGTTTAAAATTAACTTTATACTTTGATAAACAATGATTTTTAAAATTAGTCATTTTATAAATAAAGTGTTATTTATTTTATATTTGGTTTGAATATGGATGATGAAATAAACACATTTGTTTTGTACTATATAGAAACTATTGTTTTTCCTTCTGCTATTAATATAATATAATATTATTTAAAGTAATTAAATATATATAATTTTATTTTATTCTAAAATAAAAATGTTTTGTTAAAAAATAATAATTACTTTAAAAATCAGCAAAAATTACAATAAATAGAATACTAAAAGAAGCATATAATGCATGTAGAAAGTATTTTTAATCTTAAAAAACATTGTTTTTCTTGAAAAGATAAAACTTAAAATTAATATGATTATAAGATAGATAAGATAAGTTTATAAAGTAATTCAATACGTTTCTTATTAAGCATAAAAATAACTAAAATCATAAACAATTATATATAAATATACATCTACAATTTCTTTATATTAATTTATATTACTTATTTATGAACAATGATTATTTTATATTTATGTTAAAATACAGTATTTAAAGCTGAAAATTCTTTTACATTTATATTTATTTCTTTCTTTTAAATTGAAAAACAAACAAAAAAAGAAAATCATCTCATTTATCAGCATAGTGTGTAGGTAAGCTATTATAAAAGAATATTTAAGTAAATATTAAATTTAAAGCTCATATATTATTATATATAAAAGTTATAAGGTTGATATTTAAGTAAATAATTCTTTATAACTGAAAAGTTCTTTTATTTAGAGAAGAATTTCTTAAAACTGTTTGATTGCAGAGAAGTAAGGAGGAAGCCAAGATGGCAGCATAATATTTTCCTTCTTATGCAATAAATGATTAAAATTTCCACATAATTAAATTTATCAGTCCTTTTATTATTCAAAAATGTAAAAAGTTTTAAAAAATAATTAAAAATATTATATATTTCCACATAAAACAACAGTTAAGTATAGAAGACAATACTATTAGGCTTAACAAAAACACTGTGATTACACATTAACAATTGTAAGAATCTTAATAAAAAACTATAAATATATAATTTAGATATCAGAGAATATGTAAATGATAAAATAGGTATATTTTGTCAATTTTATTATTGTTTATTTTTGTTGTAAAAACCTATTCATTGAAAAAGTGTGGTTGGTTTGTGTTAAGTGCGCATGCGTTTGGCTAAGGACTGGGGGTGGCTGGCATGGATGTGGAGCTGAGACTGTTGGACATGGCGACGGCGGCGGACGGCGGCCAAGCAATATTGAAGGGGTCAAAAATATGGGTCGTTGTCGAAGAGGCCTTAGTTGATGTCATCGTTGTATCATTCACTTATGGAGATAAAACATTTCAAGGAGCGTTACTGGATATAACAAAGAAGTGAGTAAATGGTGTGGAATTTTCACTTTAAAAGAATAAACATGACTTGAGTTGGTGTTTTCTAAATCACTGTTGCTTGCTATATCTCTCACAATAATTAAATTATAAAATTTTAATATACTTTATCGTAATCTACATTTTATAACAAATTTAATGATATATAATATGTAAAATTTGATTAAAAAATTCAAAAGTTTGATCAAAATCGAAAATGCATATCGCAACTTGAGTTGTATGCATCTTTTATATTAAAATATCTAAGAAATTCTCCATAGGCCTTAATTTTTTTCAATGTATTAAATATCTTAAATTATTTTTGAACATTTTTACACAGTTTTTATATTAGTTAACATATATATGCATTATATAATAACTTGAAAAAGTTGATGATGTAAAATCGGACCTGTAACATATTGCATGAACCGGACGTTTAAAAATAAGTGGACCCTGACATGTAGGATATAAATGAAGATTTCGATATCTTGGGGTCCCCTAAGGGGTCCTGCTAGTGTGCTCACCCCTTAAGACAGATTCTATTGATAACAAAGAAAGATAATGTCTTAACACACGTATTGCTGAGGTTATCTATAGTTATTATTATTTTTTTTTTTATTGTATTTATCAATTTTTTTTAATTGGTAAATATGGTAAAAATGAATAGTAAATTTTAATAAGTTTTATTTTGCTTATAACAGGAATTGTTCTTTCGGAGTTGTACCCAGAACAGAAGATCCCTTTGGCCAGTCTGCTTTATTAGATGTCTCTGCAGAAAGAGAACTTGAAGAAAATAGGTATCCTACTCTTAGTCAAAGGTATACTTATTTTCAACCACGTTTGGGTGAACCAGCACCTAATCAGAAACGAACTATGCCACGTCAAAGGGACCAGAATGTACGAATGAGACGCCTTAGGCCACGTCAAGTGCTATGTTCTCATTGTCAAACTCTATGCAACGAATCAGTCAGTGTACAATCGGGTAGCATAAGTAGTAGTACAAACAAACCTAAATATATGAGTACTAGAAACAGAGTGAATCACTCTGATAGGAATGTAGTGAACAATAATAATAATAATAATAATAATAATAACAACAATAACAACAACAACAACAACAATAATAATAATGTAGAAATTAAACAAGAAATTAATAATAGTGACGTTCGACCTGGAAATGCACCTAGTCTTAATGAAGCTTCAGAACCCAAAGTTGCAGAAGAAGCCACAGATGATCATACTAAACAGTGTGATCCTGTGGAAGCGTGTCATGCAGGAAATGGAGAATATCAAGCTGTGTCCTCTAGTGAATTAACTAGCAGGATGGTGTTGAGAAAAAGGAAACTACCTAACCATGTGGGTGATTATGTAGAATTGACTAAACAACGTAAGACGGAAGTTTTAACAGATAACAATACTTCTAATGATACTCTGAAGTCACAAATGACTTGTCCAGTCATAAAAATATCTTATGCCAACCCACAAGGTAAAGACACTGTGTTAAAAATCCCAGCCCGTTTGCCTACGGGGAACGAAGAACAGTTTGTTTGGTGCGATCAAGTAGACAACAAAGCAGCTAAAAAAGCACTAAAGAAAGCAAAAAAAGAAGCGCATAGAAAATCATGGTGTGAATTAATAGACAACGGAGACAATTTAGAAAAGAATAAACACCATCACCATCATCACAAACACAAATTAAAAAGGAAAAGAAAGCGTAAAGAATTTTTAGATAAAGATGATAATTACGATTCCGAAAATGTATACAGTGAAAAATTAAGAACGGAATTAGGATTGTTAGAAGGTCAACCCGGTTGGAGTCTTTGTTCCACAGACAATAGTGAAGATTTAAAAGAAAAAGATTTTTTAGACGATGTTAAAAATAAATGTTTGAAACAAAAGTTATCAATAAGTCTACGTAGACTTAGTGCTAAAGCTTATAAAAGGTGTAGTCCCAAATATGGTAATAAGGATTCTAATGGTAGTACTTCGAGTGGAAGCGATAGCGAATGTGACGTGCCAGATTTTCCAAAACACGAACCACTACGCGATATGGATAAAGTCAAACCTCTTATGATGAGGCTAAGTACGCACAATGTAAAAAAGTGCCTGTTGGATAACGAACGAGAAATGGCCGTGGGCGATGTCGTATGGGGTAAAATTCAAGGTTTACCCTGGTGGCCCGGTAAAATTCTAGCCCTTTCCGTATCCCAAAGAGATAATGGAGCAACTCTTAACCACCAGGCACATGTAGCATGGTTTGGGTCTTCTACATCATCTTATATGTCATGTAATCAATTGACGCCATTCCTAGACGATTTTAAATTACGTTACAATAAAAGAAAGAGAGGACCCTACAAAGAAGCCATTAGACAAGCGACGATCGAAGCACAAAGTGACTTGCTCGACGACATTATATGTGACGAAGGAATTTCGTAGAAAATTTTTCAAATACAGTATATATTTGTACAGTGTTTTATATTCTATTTTAACGTAGCTATGCGCACCTGTATATACTGGGCGCAATAACCAGGAAGTGGAGGTTATCCAGTATTTTCTTACCATTATAAGTTCGGTGACTCAGCAAAATTCCTTTCTTCAAAAATGGTTGCGAATGTTCAAACAGGTGTTTTTCATTATTCTCTCTGTGCACGGATAACTTGAGAAAAGCCAAATAAAATAAGAATTGTACAGTTTAATCTGCTTATATTATTAATATTTAAAAAAAGGTTTTTTTTGTTGTCACATTCTTTTAGAAATTTTGACAAATATGTATATTTTTTATTTTCCTTTAAAAATTCTTACGCTTTGAAAAGTGATGTTTGCTTCCATCAACATGAAAAATTGAATTGAATCTTCTTTAAAAAGTTTTTATGAAAGTAAAAATTGGCAATTTAAAAAAAAAAATTTTTTTTTTACTTTCAATTTTTATCAGGAAAGTCATATATAATTCGAAAATAAATATGTATTTTTTTTTTAAGAAAAAAATTAATTATGTACAATACAAAACATGTAGTTTTTTTAAGCCATAAGTTTTAGTAATAATTTATCTTTTCGTGTAAGCACAAATTTTATTGATCCAACCTATCAAAATATTAATTTTGTATGGCTTCCTGTTTTCTTCTCCTGCAATCTTTAAATAAGTAGTCTGTATTCAGTCAACATTTTAGTTGTCTTTTTAACCGGTTCTGGTATGTTAATTTTTTGAGTTGATTTGCTTGTTCTGAAAAGTAATTTATAACAAAATAACCTACTCTTCTATGGGGTTATTTATTACATGATTTAATGCGATAAACATTTGCCATGACGTCGATACTACGTAACAGCATTCAAATTTAAATTTATCACACGTTATTTTAAAAAATTTATCGAATAAATCACACGAAATTATTTTAACTAAATTCGAAAAAATCTTCAATTAACCCCAGACATCAATAACTAATTTTGAGATTAAAAATTATGGTATATAATTATTTAATAAATTTAATAATTCTTACATGTGACTAACCAATAGATGGAGACACTTTATTAATTATATGACCTTTCTAAAAAAAAAAAAAAAAACATTTTTAACGCCCGCTGAGGGCCTCTAAAATGAATTATGTGCTCATCACCGGAAATTAAATGTTTGGGTTTAAGTTTCCAGATAATGTAAAATTGTTAAATTAATTCTCATTAAAAAAAAACTTTTAAGTAAAATTAACAACAAAGAACACTATTATTAACTTAATTAGATTATTTAAAAATGGATAATGTTTGAAAGAAATTATTATTTCGGAGTTGTTTATGATGTTTTCTTTAATTAAAAATCTAGGAATAAAGAAACAAACGAAACAATTCAAAAGTTTTTAACTACTTTGAATTAATTTTGCGTGTATAATAAATTCTAATAAATGCAAAGAAATTCTGTTCTAAAAAACTATATGACCTAATATGATAAAGGTTCAGTTATTAAAAATAACTTTTTTTATTAGTCATAGGTGAGTATTGAACAAGAAAAATGAGTTCTTAATCACGTGACATTAATTGCAAAATTAATGGAACAAAGCAACTATGTATTGTGCCCATTACTTTTAAGTTAATTTTATTGATTAAAATATCTTTAAAAACATAAAAAAAAAGAGAGGAAAGAAATTGATAAACATAGAAAAGCCATGTTTTTTAATATATAAATTTATATGAACATTATACAATTTTTAATTTAAATTTTATAAATTCAAATAAATTATTTTAAACAATTTTTTTAGGCTCGAGATCATTTGTATAAATATTTTTAATATGAAAATTTTAGATTTATTGAATGAAGAGTTTTTAAAATTCAGCACTGTTTAATGTAATATGTATATGTGTATATGTATATATATATATATTTTTTTTATTTAGAAATTAATTTAATATTAAAAATAAAATCCAATACGGTAAAATAAATAAAAGATTTAATGGATGAAAACGTTTTAATCTAATTTCTTTTGAAGAGAGCAAGTTGAATCTTGGAATATTGCATTTGATAAGAAGAAGCAATTCCTTTGTGAGATATCTTGGAGAGCAAAGTTGAGTGACTTTTTTTTTTAGTTGGTCTGATAATCGTTTTCGGTCTAATAATCCTTCAGATAATGCTTGACTTCTGCTATTATCCTTGCAAGTACGTAGTCTTTATCTTTCACTTTTCTCCTTAAAAAATAATAAATTAAATAATAAAATTTTTCTCAGAAATAAAATAAATTCTCAATAAAATGAAATAAAATTTCTCAGAAGTTTTTCTTTTTATTATGGATAAATTCACAAGTATTTCTTTTATTATAATATTTTTAATTACATAAAAGTTTTTTTTTTTTACTGGTGTTAACTTACTTTGAATATATATTTTATAAAATAAAACTTACACATTCAATTTTAATTTAGACAAATGAATATATTTGTCTACAAAATTTATAAACTAAAATATAAGATTCATAACTAGATATGAATGTATTATAATCTTATATTTATGCCCATTTTATAATAATAAATATTAAAAACGTGTTAAATTTTTAAAATATTTATGTAATAATTTATCTTAATTTGATAATAATGGTAATAATAATAATTTCTAGCCTGAAATATACTATATTAGATCAATATTTATTTTAATCATTTTTATTTTAAACAAAGTTCTTATTATCAACTAATGATAAACTATCACTAATAACTATTAGCCTCATAAATCAAAAACAATTCACTTTATCTGAATGATTTATTTATTATACAGATTAAAAGGAAGTAAAAACGTCATAAATTAGAGAAAGATAAAGAAATTTTGTTGATTATGAAATAACTATTATGAAAAAATATGGAAAATAATAGGCTATTTATTAAACTTCAAAAATGTTAACTAGGTTAATATATTTTTGGAATTTTCCTTTGTTTTATTAATATTTATTTAAAATTGAAAATAAAATGTTTTCTTTCTTTGTTTGACATTAATAAACAAGAAAATTTTGTAACCCAAAAAGTTTTTATTTAAAGAAATTTTAATGCTCAAAACATAAATTTTGAATAAAATATTTAAAAACGTAATCGCAGTTTAAATGAATATTTTAATAAATTTATTTGTTACTTTTTGAGTGAACTTTAAAATTATCTGGATTACCATTATTTCAAACTAAAAGCTATTTTACAATGTTTTTAACATTGGTCGGTTTTACAGATGTAAGAAGGCTATTAAGTTAAATTATACACAGTTGGATTTCGCAATTTACCAATGTTATTCAAAATGGACCAATGTCATTCGGTCAAGGTATCCACCCATGAATAACTTCTTTCAGATTTATAGAAGCCCATTCAAACAACGATATGCCACTGAGAATCTTGTAGATGAAACAATTGATGAGTCTTTAGATGAACTGTCAAGATATACAACAATATACGAATAGGATCGGGGGTCGATTGGTTATATGGTCCCCTATGGACCTCTAACGACATTGGAAGGTGTGCTCTTTGTAATACATTCTGAGGTTTTAGCTCGGTCTTTTCGGATATTTCGTTTGAAATATAGCTGAATGTAATTAAAACTTTTTGTATTTTTTTGTTTATTTCTCTGAATGTTCTTTTATGAATAATTCATATCATTCAATAGTTAATCTTGCCAAACAAAGAAGTAATCCTCAATAATTTTCAAAATCTGTCGAAGACAGGTGTTCGGAGTAATTTATTTTTACAATAACAGCATTTATCTCTTCTATAACAATATGGATAAAAAGATTATATAGAATTTTCGTGTTAAATTAATGATATATGACAATTCGAGAGAGAAAAATTATTTACATTTCCACTAACGACAATAGAATTGCATTATATATATATATATTTAAACGTATATGTGATACTGTAGAAGTAGAGAGAAATCGATTTGAAACAAAAATTCTATTTTTTTTTTTTTTGGTTTTACAAAATAGAAAAACGCTTTATATATTTAACAAATGTTTATAATTTATTTATAAATAGAAATAAATGATAAAAACTGGTTAAATATATTAT